CCAAAATTAAAGGAAATCTTTTCCTTCCAAGCATTTAAAATCTGCGGCCTAGGTGTAGGAAATGAATTTGATTTTCAAGCCATTAAATGCAAATCGAATTTCCTTAAGTCAAGCCAGTCAAATTCCTTTAAACAAGGAAGTTAGGATTATGATGATTAGTAGTCAATCACTTTCCCTAAATCAAGCAAATTGATGACAATATGTCAATCAATCAAATAATTCTGTTTCTTAAATCAAGGAAGCAACCTTTATGACGATTAGTCACACCTCATCAATCCCTTAAATCAAGGGAGCAACTTTTAATGACGATTAGTCACACATCATCAATTCCCTAAATTAAGCAATCTAACCTATGACAACAAATCACCACCTTACTCTCATTTAATGTGATCGAAACCTACCAGCAATCAAGTAATGGCAAGGCTTCTAGGTTGCCTATTTGAACAAGCTTTAGTCTCTCCTTTTTCCCTCTATAGCCGCGGCACTACCAAAGGAAAGAACAAAGAGTTTAGTTCATTTTGTGAAGTCCATGAATGCTTCGAAATGGTGAGTGTGTTAGTGAGAAATACCTAATTGTTCCAAGATCAAATACAAGCCTGGATCTTAGTCCTTCTTCCTAATAATTCCACCAAAGAACCCTTCATCTCTAAGCAAGAAAATCCCTCTTCTCCTCTCTTTAAGCTTGCGGCCTTGTATGTTCAAGGAGGAAGGAAGTTCATTCAAGAAGATTCAAAGTAGTCAAAGGTCAAGAAGAGTTTCCTTAAGTCGTTGATCATCATCAAAGGTAAGCCTATGAACCTTCTTGGTTAGGAATGACATGTAAAAGCATGAAAGTGATATCCTAAGTATATGATCCCTAGAAGGCCGAACCATGTATGATAATTATAAGCATGAAGAGATGTTTAAATGATATGAAAGATGATGAAATGATGATGTTAGATTAGCATGTTTAGTAGCCTAGGTTCTAAATCAATTTTGCATGATCATAACCTTAGTTGGCCGAATATATAAGATGATGTTTTGAATGATGCTCTAGGATTTAAATATGATAAATTATCAATAATGTTAGAAGCATGTTTTAGAAGTAATCCCTTAGGTATTTTAGGGCAATAAGGCTTAATGGTATGTAGCTAAAAGAGGTTTTATTTGATTAATGTTGAAAGGATCTAACCATGTTAAGTTAATAATATAATTGAAAGCATGTTTTAAAAATTATATTCCTAGATGTTTATCTATGGTGGCCGAACCTATACATGCCTAGAATGAAATCTTTAATAATTCTATTAAGTGTTATGATGACCTAATAATGTCCTAAAACCTACACAAGTGGGTAAGTAAGCAAAACAACTCCTCTAGGTAATTAAACCTGCAAAGCCGAGACCTATACATGGATAAAACACAAATGTTGAATGTTATATAAGTTACTAAAAGATGATATGATGATGTTAGGGAGTCAAGGGAGCAAACAGGCAAGTAAAGAGATCAAAAGTTGAAAGTATACAAGTAAAGAACGACAAGTACTGTAAGTGTTTACAGTTGTTGAAGTAATCTCTCTATGTATGCCACCATTATGAAACTATGATAAGTTATGGTCTGACTGCAATATGTTTATAGTGCTTTACATTATGTGATTATGATATTTTTGAAACTTAAAACCATGCTATTAAATGTTGGCCTGTGCACTGATACTCCAGTTGCAACCTGACGAGGACTCTGGGTATCTCCGTAAGTCCGTAAAAGCCGGCAGGAATATGATGATGATGATGATGGCATGATATTTTTATATGATGATGTTAAATGTTCCATTTTGTATTGTTATTATAAACTGTTGCAGGAGTAAGCGTCATAGTTGGAGAATGCTCCAGCTGTGAACCTTACTGAGATTTTCCCCAAAATCTCACCCCCCCCCCCTTGACCACCCATTTCAGGAAAAGATGAAAGAAAGTAATAAGAAAGTTATGTGGGAAAGAAAGGGTAAGAGACTGGTACGTAAAGAAGAAGAAACTCCACCTACCTGGAAAGAGAAACTAAAGGATCTAACAGATAGAGGCCTATGGACTGAGGCTATGAAATTATTAATAGAAGCTTTCCACATTATGATTTCGTATGAAGCACTAAGTACACAATGGCTAGAGGAACCACAACCACATTATGACTGGGCTTATGATGCGGCATAAATTATGTTTTTATTTATGATTAGTTAATCTTTTTGGGATTACATTAAATAATGTTTAGTGTTATTTATTTTGTATTGACGTTTTAACGCTTTTAATTTTATATGGAATAAGTATGGTTATGTGTTTCCATTCCGCACTCTGATATTTGCATTCGTAAAGTTTAAATTTAGACTTCCGCGCGTTGAATGCATGATGAAGGTGCACCCTATATGTATTTACACATTTTTACAGTTAGTGACGGTCATTGTGGCTTTTAAATACCTTTTTCTCTAAGAGTAGGTTTCTCCCCCTCTTGCAGCACCTCCGACAATAGTCCTCAACACCCCCAACAACATTATTGGGTAGTTGAGGTTGGTTTTGCTGTTGTGTCGCAGGTTGTTCACTTCGTCTTCTTCTTTCACGTGGAGACCTCTCTCTAGGTCTATCATCTCACCTATAATTGGTTTGATTGTAATTCCTCCTCTCCTGATAGTTTTTTGGAGGAGGGTTTCTATCTTGGTCCGGGCTTCTATCATGCTTTCTCTGAATTTTCTCTTGTTTGCAATTTATGACAAACTTTTTGAGTTTGCCATCTCTAATCAGAGCCTCAATAGTATTTTTAAGGTCAAAACAATCCTCTGTAGAATGGCCTACATCTTCCTGAATTCACAAAATTTAGTGTCATCCAACCTGCCTCCCTTTTTTATTAAAGCTGGCTTGGCGATATTGACAAATATAGCTTGGAAGACTTTCTTCATTATGTGAGATCGAAATATGTTCAAAGGCATAAAGTTTTCGAACTTTTCAAAAAAAAATCTTTCCTTGAACCTCCTTTGGAAATCTCGCTTAAATTCACTGGCCGCAGGCTTTTTAGTTGGGCCTTCGCGAGATCATTGATAATCTTCAAGACTTATGAATTTCTCATATCTCGCTTGTAATTCTTCAATGGTCTTTGGCCTTTGTTTTGCCAAAGACGTGGAAAATGGTCCATCCTGTAAACCGTCAGTAGTAAGATCTGAAGAGACTTATGGGTCAAGATATCTTACCAATAGGACTTTGTCAAAAAATCTATTGAGGAAATCTTGCAAGGTTTCTCTAACACCTTGCTTGACAATTTTCAACTTATGCGTGGATCTGTATTGAGCTTTGCTAGTAGCAAATCTCACCAAGAACTGGCTGGCGAGATCCTCCCAATTGTAGATGGAGTTATGTGGCAAAGCTGAATACCACCTTAGAGCAACTTCTTTCTACGTGGTTAGGAAGAGATGACAACCTACAACATTAGGTATGTCTTGAGCCATCATATTCATCTGGAATTGTTTTAGATGTTCTTGGGGATCTCTTTTCCCATTGTATTTCTCTGTTGTGATTTTGATATCTTTGGGAATTGGCAGGTCCATGATCTGTGAGGTAAAAAGATGAGCTACCTTGGAGATAAATTATGATGGGAATTGTGATCCATATGATGATCAGCATCATGGTTAACATGAGGCTGATGAACTTCTATCTTTTGTTTATAATTTTTCGACGAACCAGGTTCTTTCTGAGAGTGTTTTGATTCATGCTCATTTTCATAAGATTTTTCATTCATGTCAGACTGTTTTTCATACTTAGCCTCTGATTTTTTCAATTTTTGTAACTCTTTTTGTTGTTCCTCAATCATTTGATTTTGTTGCCTGAGGAGATCTAGGATTTGTTGATTTGTTGGTGGTGGATTATCTCGCTAAGGAGAAATTGGAGCTATAGATGAGGTCGTTCTCTAGCGAGATGCCTGGCCTCCTTTCTTTTTGCCTCTGGATGTTTTCTGAGATTTGGTCATCTTGCTCCTGGTATCAACCATGTTTTTATTTGTATTGAGTGTGAGTCAAAATTTATCGTTTCCCACAAATAGCGCCAATGATCGATCCAACTCAAGTTGGGCTAGGCCTGATCACATACAGTTGAAGTGAAGGATGTTGATGAAGAGAAGAAAAGATGGCAAGTTAGCTTACCGAGATGCTGGGAGGCTTCGCGAGATGGTTGATCAGCACTTTGAATATCTGGGCTGTTTGGGAGCAACTGGGGGGTACCTACAAAGGCACTTCGACGCTCACATCAGTTCAGTATCCAAGGAGGTTCAAGCATTCAAAGAGAGATATGATACCTGGGCTTAATGCCTCTATATTTATAGCATTGAGCGTCTTGTTTCATACCGCCTTTCATAGGACGATGTTCACTTTCATTGGTGGAGAGGAGTGGCCTCTCTTAGGTTATTCCTTGATAGGCAAGCCTATTCAGTAGATGTGGTGACAAGCAAGAGCTATCTTTCATTCATTGGGTTCGCATGGTGACCAACTTGTCGGAGCTGTTGATCTCGGCAACGATGATTGCTTTCAGGTTAAGTCACGTTGGCTTGCTAGTCAAGTAAGCGAGATCCCACGTTTTCTACGCGAGATGGGTTGCATTTGTAGTCAAGTCACAAGGGGTCTCTGGGCCCTTTGGGCCTTTATGGGATTGAGTCTCTATATTGCATGTAGTAGGTCCAGATCAAAGACAACACAAATAAAAGGGAATGTCATAAAAAAGCAACCAGAACACATTGCAAAGGTTAAATAAATCAAATAACCAATCGATTTTCTATATTGAGAAAAGAACCTGCATACCACTTGTGTACACTATGTACTCCCTGTATCGCAAACACTCGCACCAAAACATATTTACATATATTCTACTGAAGCATTCCATTAGCACAACTGTCTTAATAGACAATAATCTTTCATTTTGGTAACTATAGGGTAAAAATCATGTTTATGCGATGCTCGAATGTGAAGAATAAGATATCTTCAAATTGAGCATAATGATACTTCACACTACACCTAAGAGCATATCCTTCGCGACTTCTTCAACCAAATCACCAATGATCAAATATGCTATCTCTCTTTGCAATATATTGATCTGATCATTTATTGGTCCAGACCAGGACATGGATCCCAAATCTTGTGCCACCAAACTATCAAGTGAATAAGGAGTTGTGTTAGATGGAGGATATAAAGAAACATGGATAATGTCCCAAACTAACTTCAGTAGTTCCTTTCCACATGGTGGAGGCTGCATGGAGGAGTTGCTTAGTTTATTTCTGAATGCAGAGAATGTCAAAGGTGGTCCAAGAACAATGGAAAGTGCCTCATTTAACAAATCAAGTAAAATCTTGTGCTCCAATTTATTCTCATAAGGATCCTTTATAGATCTTTCATTCTCCTTGACCAATTCCTTATGGGATTCTTCTACTTCTTCAAAAACTGAGTTGCCAATAGGCTTTGCAAGTGTGTCCCCTATTAGTAAAGATTTATCCCATGAACCAAAGTACAGACCAGAAGCAACAAGCAGATCTCTTATGTAAGATTCTGCTGGATCCTCCATTTGAACTAATTCAGACTCAACAGGCTCTTGCTTCGTTGTCAAATCCTCAGGGCAATCAGAGTCAAGTTGACTGAGTTGCCTCCTTAGCTCTGCCATATCAGCAAGCAAAGAGAACTGTAAACAAGAATTTGACATCTAAAAAAGAATTATATATATATGGGAAGGTTATATCTACAAAAATTTTGTTTACAAACTACACTATGTCTGACCGGTCATACTTCAATCAAGAGTGTATGACCGGTCATACTTAGTGTAATTTGTAAAAATAGTTTGTAAATGGATCATTCCCCATATATATATATGATCAACTTACGCCACTGTAATCTTACACGCGTAATTAGTCGTCATTTGCACTTGTATGTAACAGCTCCAATTTATTAGTCACATGAGCTACTATATACAAGTGGGATCAAATGGTTGAGATTGGATTTAAGACTTTATCAAAAACAAACCAGATATTCTTTTTTCATTAGCTCAGTTATCTACAGGTTTGTAAGATTAATATGAACAATGTTTTATTATGCTAATGGTCACCAAGCTGAAGCAAAGAGTCTGCCCCTTTTTGTTCAATATCATTCTGTAAAATACCAAATTTGAACATACCTAGTTTTTATAACTAGAAATTTGAAGTGAATTTAACATGAAAATCAACTACTGATCTTGCAAGCAAGAACACTATCCATTTGAAAAGACTAAACGCTGCTTTTTGATATAACTGTATATGCACAAGCAGTAAAACCATGATAAGACAATATTATCTTCCTTTCTATAAACTTTCTATGATATCATTGCACCATGATTTAAAGTTAAAATTCTCTCTCACCATTCAAACCAGAGCTGATATCTCTAAAAACCTTGGGCATAGCAATACCCTCTGTTGAAGATACATCTGGAGTTGATATTGGACTTTCCTGAGCACAGGTGCACACAGATACAGGACTAGGAGGTACCTCAGTGAAGTTCTCCTAAAGAGATTATATGACAGAAACTCTAGTGATTAAATAACAACCATATAATTGAAAACAAAAGTCATAGTGGAGAAGGCTGAAAAAAGTATATAACGAACTTACATGCCTCTCACCATGTTTCATGAGAACAGTTGGTCCACTTCTGATGTCTCTCACCATGGGACTATATTCATTATCATGTGATTCTACCATGGACTGAACCCTTTTGCCAAGCAGATTCCCTCTTAGACCAAGACTATATTTAAAATTGGAAATTTTTTCTTTAATATTAAATCTATCTTTTTTCTGTTTTGTAACATTGACAGGCATTGTTTCAACAGCTTCAAGCTTCCTCTGAATTCGGACACCCGTTAAAATGTGGCTGTCCTCTAGAAGAAGATTACCAAATGATGTTCCTGATACAGGAGCAGACAAGGATCTTACAAGGTTCCTAGGGGACAACTCCTTGTGGAGTAATACATTGTCATCTGGTTCGTGTCTGAAGGAACCTGTTTGTATTTCTTTTTTCACTTTCAAAATTTCCCAGTGGCTCATGTCATTTGCACAATTTGTAGTATCCTCTTCTTGCTTTAGTCTAACTCTATTATTGTCTATCATATATGGCCTTGAGTTCCCACAAGTCGCTTCTGGTATGTCAAAATGTGCTTCACTTTTCTTAATATTTCTTAGCCTCTCTGACAAGAATCTCCTGGTTTCTCTATTGAAAAATTGTGGGGAGCTTGATCCATAGAACTGAATTTCACTGTTGTGTGATCTTGTTGATTCCGAGCGGAGTAAATTTCCTTCAGCATCTATTACCTCTTTTGCTATATGATGAGCTATTCCTGTAGGATCAGATGGTTTTTCATTGTGAAGTGTCTCAATTCCACTTGCTTGAACCACAGAACCCTTTTTGAGAGTTTTCCCTTGTAGTTCCCGTTTCAACCGCTCTCCCACCTCCTCAAGAAAATCTCCTATACTATTTCTCCCTTGTAAAGTGCCTGTTGAACTAATCCAATCCTCTTTAAGGTTGCAATTGCAAATCCTATCAGGACCAGGCTTCAAGATAACTATCTGAGTGGAAGAAGAACATATATCTAATCTTCTTCTGGATTTCATCATTGAAGACTCCTTAAAGTCTCTACTTAGTGTTCTTCTCCTTGAAGGAAAGGATTCTCTTTGCTTAGTTGAGATTGGCTCCATCACAAGATTCACAACATCATTAGGTAGCTTTGGTTTAAATGAGTGGCTATCAAGTTCTGCAGATTTCTCTGCTGCCTCTCTTTGTGAACTTGCATTATTGGGCACCTTTCCCTTGTTCCGGTTCTCTTGAGCAAGCATTCTCCTAGAAACACTTTCAATTTCAACAACCTTAGAACACTCCTTAAACATTGTGGCTTGATATGCCTCAAATTCTTTCTTGAATTTCTGGAGTTCCTCTTCCTGAGGATGTTCCTTTGGCCTTGGTTTTCCAAAATTTTGTTCCCATCCATCATCATCAATGTCCTGATGAAATGAATCAAATTCCTTCTGGCTAGAAGAATTAAAGTTGGAAGAACCCGTAACCGTACCCCTTTCATTCATTCCCTTCTTTGATAACTTCCTCTCCAAGTTTTCACTTGTGCTTTCATTTAATGTTACAACAGATTTAGTGTCTAATGGCATCATGTCTATCCCCATCAACCTTGCCACAAGGCTTGGTACATTATTTCTGGTGCCTGATTGTTTGGATAACTCCTCATTGTTCAGTTTTTTCACTGAAGCCACATTTGAGTAACTATTCTTCTTTGACCAACCATGTTCTACGTGACTGGAGTACTGAAAATTGTTCAGAGTACATTCCATTTAAGAAAGGTAAGAGAAGCAGGCTTTTTGACTCTTATAACCGTTTATTAATAATTAATTATCAAATTGACCTTCATTATAAACTATTTCAAAAATTTAACCCCCTCTAAAAACATAACACCAATCTGCCCCATGTTTGACCGTTGACCACCAAGCCTACCCGGGTACACCCCTCCTTACCCGGGTAGACAAAAAATACCCGGGTAAAGAGGGGTGTACCCGGGTATTGTTCTTGGCACCTGAAAAATTGTTTGAATTATTTACCCGGGTACGAAGGGGTGTACCCGGGTAAATCATCATAGAAGAAAACTCGAAACAAAATTTTATTTACAACTTATAAGAAAAAGAAAAGGAAAATATCTAATGTTTTCTCAATTTACAATGGGTTACTGAACTAAAAAATAAAAAAATATTTCATCTACTGGTCAAACCGAAAGTTCCAATAAATTGGAAGTGTCCCTTCTGTGTTCAGTCAACGTTATCTTCTCCCCCTTCATCTCATCATCTTCATGCTGCTGCATTATCTTGATGGTTCTCAATTGTTCTTGTTTTACAAAAGAACCCAACAAATGCCTCGATAAGGGTGTTGAAGCAACTAAACCCTCGTCGTCTTGTTTGGCAACCACACAAGCACTTTTCGCTCAACTTTTCAAAGAACCCTTTATGCCCAACCTCTGGGGGGAGTGGACATTTTTCAGGTGCCAAGAAATTTACCCGGGTACACCCCTTTGTACCCGGGTAAATAATTCAAACAATTTTTCAGGTGCCAAGAACAATACCCGGGTACACCCCTCTCTACCCGGGTATTTTTTGTCTACCCGGGTAGGGAGGGGTGTACCCGGGTAGGCTTGGTGGTCAACGGTCAAACAGGAGCAGATTGGTGTTATGTTTTTAGAGGGGGTTAAATTTTTGAAATAGTTTATAATGAAGGTCAATTTGGTAATTAATTATTAATAAATGGTTATAAGGGTAAAAAAACCAAGAGAAGCATGTTATCATAGTTATGCAAAAAAAGCACTTAATTTCATTGATGGAAATGGGAATAGGAAGTGAAATCTCATGTGTTTACTGTCACACTTAAATAAGCAAAACTAAAATAAAAATATGGGAAGAGTGATACAACAATCAGAACTATGATTGATACTTTTGCAACTAATCATGAAACATGACGAAGAAAATAATCAAACCCATGAAACCATCATTTATAAAGATGACACCACGTTTAACTCAATTGAAGAGATCAATATCACAAACGATAGGTAAAATACCCATTTCCCCAATACATTACAAATGCAGTTTTAAACAGAATCAAGCCATGATCAAGCCCTATATATATTGAAAAAGGGAAAAAGAAGTATCATTAAAAGGACACAAGTTGTATATTTACACAAAGTATGACCGGTCGCGCACATTTGGATGGGCTATTTTTTCTCCAAAAGCTACTCTCTCTTTTTTTTCTTGAAAACAAGCAATTCTCATTTTTAGCGTGTTTGGATGTTGTTTTTAAAAAAAACAGAAATCACAAAAAAAGCCAAAAACTTACTTTTTTCAAAAGCTAAAAATTTTAACTTCTAAAAAAAAAAGCAAAAGTCAAAAGTCAAATATTTTTTCCAAAAACCAAATATTTTTATAAAAATATAAATAGCTTTAACTTTTGTAAAAAGCACTTCTAAATTAAGGAAGAGATAAAAGTTACTTTTTGGAGAGGAAAAACAAACGGGCTCTTTGTGTAAATCTGAAAAATTGTTTTTTTTTCTCTCTCCTCAGTCACATCGCTTATGTGTAAAGTTAAAAAAAAAAAAAAATTCAGACTTACACGGAGTATGACCGATCATATTCTATGTAAGTCACTGAAAGAACACAATTCTGTGTGCTTTTAAAGGACACACACTGAACCGATTGGAAAAAGGTGCAAAAGCCAGTCACCAATAACAAAGGAAGAAAGGAAGGAATGATTATGGTGTCTTGAGACTTTAAAACACAAGAAAAAAGGCATTTGAAGAGAAACTTACTGGTAATTCTCCTTCTGGACATAGGATCTGATATGTATCTTGCAGGTCCAGACTATTTCGTGGAGTTTCCAGGCCTGCATGATAGACAGTATGATAAATCAGAATTAAACTAACAAAATCAATCTAGAAGAGGAGGACAAAACAAAACTTCAAAAAAAAAACAAAATCATTATCAGCATGATATCTTGAAGGTTCCAACAAATTAATCAGAACAGTCATTTAGGTTGTTTCAAACAATTTAACACAGTCAATAACCTTTTAATCATTAACTAATACAAAAAATATTGACAAGCAAATAGCCACTTTAAGCTTTTCATTTTTTGAAAGGAATCCTAAGAAATTAATAAACAAATGCGGTATTTAGCTCCCTTACAGGTTATCTAACCTAAAAACTAAAAAGGTCTATGGTAGCATGAGTAAAGTTTCTCTTCAATATATAAAACAACGCTTACCACCATTATGTCTCTTATGGGCATGAACTTTCTTGGCCATTGTCCCCTGATTGAACTCAAAAATGTGCAATAAGCCTCCCATACTGACAAAGAGCCTATCAAAACACTCTCTTGCCGTCAATTTCAGGGTTCATGTCCCAACCAATTAAAATTTCAGCAATCTTTTCTTTCCCTCTGTACGATATGATCCAGAATACTCCCTTTTCACCCCCCTGAATTGCCACAGGTAACATTAGTTAAAGAGCAGTTTATAACACAAAATCTGAATATCCTAAAATTAAATGAAATCTGTTAAGCAGTAAGATCCAAATTACATTTGAAGCAATAAAGTGACTAATTTTTACAGAAAATAAACCAGCATAACACATCGAAAATAATTGTTAGAAATAAAAAAATAAAATAAAAAATCACTCCCCGGACCTTTCAGTCATAAAAAAACAGCTTTACCACTGCTCCTGTTCGCCCCCTTTTAAAATAATTGTTAGAAATATAATGTAAAAATCATTCATATAGAATCAACCAATAAGTTGCTTCAAACTACAGCATATAAGCCTTTGTGTAAATGTTGGATGCTATGATCATTTATATTCAAAAGCTGTAATTTTTGCATTTTGATTGATGTTATAAATGGACGAGTTACCTTGCTAACTTAAGGCCTAAACTGTATTAGATAGCATTGTATCCTATGTAGAACAAAATGCATAAACCTAATCAGTAAAAATGAATAGCAAAGGTAGGAAAAGCATGCAGACCAACATCTTCCTAAATTTAGATAAAATGATATAGAGTTCGAAGATTCATATAAATAGGCCTTTTAGAAAACACTGGAAACTTTTGACTTTCATGCAAACCCAGAAAAGAAAGAAGCACCCCCATAAATGAATTTAACCTTCAGAATCCATTCATGAAAAAGCTAATCAGAGTCAAGAGAAAACCCAACAGCAGCTTTATGAGAAAATGCAGGAAAATAAGAAGCACCAAAAAACTCTGAATCTGAAAATGTTGGCCCCAGTTGGAGCTTACTGTAAACAAATAGCTTTCTTGAAGATAGGCCCATCTATGTTTCAAAACCATAAACATCACACTGAACAAATGGTTCATTAACTAAAACACTTCAATGCACAGTTAGAAAAAGTGAAGAACAGGGAACATGTTATATCAAACATTACATACCAATGAGAAGAACCAGAACAAACAACGTATAAACCAACTGAACCTTCAGCTATGAATCAATTCACGCATTACACAAAGAAGAAGATGGGTGTGCTTGAAGAGCATCAAAGCATCAAACTTGATGAAAAAAATGAAATGGTAGGAACAAAACTAACAAATCCCTGATGGAGAGAGAGAGAGAGAGGTGTCCTGAAAAGTGGAAAACTCTGAACTGGGATTCTGTATCAAGAGAGAAAGAGATGAAGACTTAATTGAAAAAGTAGCGATGATGAGTTAAATAATGATGATGACAACGGAAAAAACTACTATATTGTTAGTGTAGCAAAAGTGAACAAGTCCTCTCATTCCATTGCTGGAAATGAATGAATGAAAGCGAAGGTTCCCTCTCTCCGATTTCCTTTATTGGTTAATCATTCTCTTATTTCTTTTCTTTTCTTTTCTTTTCTTTTCTTTTTTTGATAAATTTGAAGCCAGCCATGCTTTATTTTAGATCACTAGCTCATGACTCATGATGAAATTTCTGTTTATGGTTTTGGTCTAGTAACATAGGCTCATAGGTTTGTGTTTTTCTTAATTTATATCATTTTTTTTGTGAAATTTCTGATTTCCATGTGAGTGATATGTTTTTACCAAATCATGAAAGTGAATTAATTGAATCAAACAATTATTACGAGTAAAGTATAATCTTACAAAATCACTGAAAGTCAATATATATATATATATATATATATATATATATATATATAGAGAGGTTGGATCCTTTGACACCAGTATCAAATTTTAAATTTGACACCTCATCTTATAGTCGTTACATCAAAAAAGGTCAATGGAGTCACATGATTACAAATCAGAGTCGTTTATCTTTTTTTATCTAACAGATATACGATGAGGTGTCAAATTTGAAATTTGACACCGGTGTCAAAGGATCATACCTCATATATATATATATATATATATATATATATATATATATATATATATATGAGTAAGGATATTCTTACTACCAAGATTTTTCACTATAAACTTACTACCTATCTAATCACCATTGAATTAACATTTTCTTTCTCTTCAAAAAAATTTTAACATTCTCTCTCTTTGATCCAATGATGATTTGATAGGTAGTTAGTTCTCTCTCTTCAAAAAATTTTTAACATTCTCTCTCTTTGATTCAATGATGATTTGATAGGTAGCAAGTTAGTAGTGAAAAATTTTAGTAGTAAGAATATCCTTCCTATATATATATATATATATATATATATATGAGATTTGCATTCATCATTTAACATGACAAGAAAAAGTTTCCTACACACACAATATTTTGTGGGACCCGCATTTTTTGGATAAAAAAAAAACTACGGCATGCAAAACGAATCTCTGTAACATAACACAATCACTTTTCCTACCACATAACTTTTATAAAACCCTATATATATATATATATATATATATATATAAGGTAGGATCCTTTCACACCGGTGTCAAATTTGAAATTTAACACCTCATCTGAGAGCAATTAGATAAAAAAATAACAACGACTCTAATTTGTAAGCATGTGACACCATTGATATAAGGGCTCTCAGATGATTTTTTTATATAATATATATATATATATATATATATATATATATATATAATGATTCTATATATATATATATATATATATATATATATATATATATATGATGTGTCAAATTTCAAATTTGACACTAGTGTCAGATGATTTTACCTCTATATATATATATATATATATATATATATATATATATATATATATATATATATTATTGACCCAAGGACGATGTTGGAAACCCAAATTTCTACATTTTCAAATTTTATTTTTTTGATCTAAAACTGTCTGTAATAGCTCAACAATGCCTATAACAT